TTGTATGTCATAGGTTCACATCCTTCTAGTTGCTGTACGTGGGACTCGGCCTCGCGTTGGACGGAGAAGTGGTGCCTCGGGGCGCTCCCGGGATCCGAACCCCGGCCGCTAGCATCAGAGCGCGCGCACTTAACCGCTAAGCCACGGAGCCGGCCCTCAATACTTTATTGACCAACTGTTACTTTTATGTAAATCAAACCTAGGATAAGAAGAAAATATCTAAGATAATAAAGTCCTTTCCCATTTTATGTCTTGAAATTTTAAAAATCTACAACCATTCTCACTTACTAGATCATAATTCAGAATATTCTTTACCTAAGCAGAACCCACTTATAAGGATGCTGCTTCTGCAGGCTTATGGTTGTACCTCATACAATATCAAGTGATTTATTTAAAAAAAAATGTCTAAATTAGGTTTAAAACTGTTATACCAATTTCTGGGATTGACTGGTAGATTAAAAATAAAAAGCTGGAAACTGTGAAAAAATATTCAACTTGTGAAATTAAAAAAAAAATATATATATATGTATATAAACTTACCGATGTCAAGGAATGAAGCTTCACTGGTTCATTCACTCAACACCTGCTATGTGCCAGGCACTGTATTAGGTTCTGAGAATTCAATGGTAAGAGAGATGGAGCTAGTCCCAGCCTTCACAGATTCAAGAGTATAGTAGGAAAGACATGAATAAGCAACCCTAGTACCAGGTGGTGAGTGCAATGGAAGGGAAAAGTTCAGAGGGTTATGTAACCACTAGTGGTGTGCTGAGGTACAGAATGTTTTCAGAAAAGCTGAAATGATCTACATTTTGTGACTTGAAGGATGAGAAGGTAGAGTTACTGGGCAGTGTTCACAGAACATCCAAAGGTGAGAAACAAGAGGGAGTGGCAAGAGATGAAGTTGAAGAGGTAAGCAGGATCAAGATCACGGAGGGTCTTACATCATGATGAGTTTGAACTTTATCTTGCAGGCAATGAAGAGAATACCACTTAATGGTTTCAAGCATGGGACTGTCAGGATTTACTTTGGCAGTGACAAAATGGATTGGAGGAAGACAGTTATGAGGGTAGCAGTTATTCAGTCCAGAAATAACGGTAGTGAGAATGGAGTAGATATTTAAGGCAGAATTTTCTAGATTGGATGTGGAGAACATGAGAAGAGTTAAAAGTTAGGGATGATATCCAAGTTTCTGGCTTGGGAAACTAGTTAGATGAGACACGCTAATTGACAAGATGTATTCTCAGGAAAAACAGGAGTCTGGGTGTGAAATACTTGTGAGGTAATGAAGTGAAGGTTCCTTTTATATTCGGGCCTCTTGAGAGGTCTACGCTATAGACAAGAAATTAGGGAGCCATCAGTATATAAGTGCTAAGTGAAGCTGCTGGAGGGCAAGCATCCAGGGAAGGTATGGAGCATAAGAATGCCTATGACAGAACCACGAAGGTCACCAAAAGGAAGAGGCAGAGAAAAGAGCCTGGAAAAGAGACTGAGAAGAAATCAGCAAGGGAGGTAGGTATCAGGAAGTTAAAAAAAAACAACAAAGAAAATCAGGAGAATGTAGTGTCTCAGAAGCCACAGAAAAGTTATGAAATTAAGAGAAGACAATATGAAATACTGCCAAAGACCAAGTAAGATAAAGACTGAAAGGTGTTTAGTGGACTTAATTACATAGAAATGTCATTGGTGACCTTGATTTTTAAAAAATGACTAGAAACAATCAATTGGGGGAAGAGAATTACTTCATTTCAAAGATGACTGATAATAGCAGGTTACTCAGTCTTTGATCCCGTTATTAAAATGTTTAGGTACATCTTTCCCTTCCCATTCCAGAAGGCTGACTTAGATTAGTGGTTCCCAACCATTTTATGTGGGATAACTTCTGTGTAACATTTAAAAAAACTTGATCACCAGAATAACTGTTTTTATCATCAGATTAAAAATAACTGGATAAGAAGCTACTATAAAGTCAGTAATACTTTTAAATAAATGCACATTTTTTTTTTTTTAACCACAAGTTTGAAAAAAAGAAATACCTAAGACATCTGTGCAGCCAGGATATCATGCTTGGTGTATATATGGGTATGGTAGTCCCTTGTGGTAACTCAGGCCCAGAGACTGAGAAACGCTATGGATGAGATGATCTTCCCAGAACTTTTCGAACTCTGAAAATCTGTAATTCTTCACGCTTTTTATTGTTTTTGTTTTGTTTTTTGCTTTCTTTGCTAAGGAAGATTTGCCCTGAGTTAACATCTATGCCAATCTCCTCTGTTTTTTAATATGTGGGCCACCAGCACAGCATGGCTGCTATCAGAGCGGTGTAGGTCTACACTGGGGAAGGAAACCCGGGCTGCTGAAGTGGAGCACGCTGAACTTAACCACTAGGCCACCAGTGCTGGCCCGTACGCTTTTTTAAAAAATTACTGAACCAAAATGGCACAACATGGCAGATTTTATAATGGGCCCCAACGGAACATGATTTAATACTTTAAGTACCTCAATCTCAGATGCTATCAACTGTGATTAGATGCCTCTCTTTAGCGTAAGCCTAAAATCTCTATTAATTAAACAAAAATATGAACTTTTGCTTTTGCTTTACAAATGTTTGCTATCTCAGACAAAAGATAATTGTATACAGTCTACATAGCATATGAAAATGTCAAACCCGATAGAAGCCCAGTAATTTTATTAGTTCATTGTACATTAAGGCAAACATAAATTAACAGACAAAACCCACTGATTTTCCGTTTTATTCACTGATATTGAACCTTGAACCAACAATATTTGTCCATTCCTTCATTCTCTTAAAAATTATAGCTATTGCTCAGGTGGAGGAAGAACAGTTAGGGCATCAGGATTCTGCCATTTTTTCCATCAGTTGAAACCAATGCTGCTTTATTTACAAAACCCACTGACATCGCCAATTTAAAGGTGCTATTCAAATACAGAGCAATTTCTCCAACCACGGATAATAAATAAATTACAATTCATGGTCAGTTATATTTAGTCTAATAATAATTCTAAGGACCAGACTACAAAAAGACAAAAAATCGTCTTTTGGTATTTATTGGTCATGAACAGTTAAAACACAAATTTCTATTAAAAAATGGCAAAGACATTCTTATTGTTGCTTTACTGAAGCATCATCCAGCAATTCACAGCAAGATTAGAGGTACAAGCCTATAAATTCCACAAGGCGAACAACAGCACGTGCAAGTGTTTTGCTCAGTTTTATTTTGGGTCAAAAATAATAAATCATTTAAAAGCAGTTAAAGTTACACAAAGAAGTCAATCTTAAAGTCTAATTTGTAACAGCAGTCAGGTGAATAAAGAAATTGTTCTGATAAAACTATAAAACACCATGGAATTTAAAAATCATCACAATGTTGACCCAGACAATGCTGAAAAACTGAAAATAAGATTTAAGGAAATCTAAAATCTGAAAGACAATTTGCTAAATTCTATCAAATACCAAACAAGTGAGGTGGGGTAGTATTTGAAACCGCAATGAAATGTTAAAACCTAGTTTCATGTATAGAAACTATATTTTTGGTGATTATTATAGAACTGAGAACTTTTATGCATTTTTCATTCATCTACTATTCTTCTGTGATTAAAATTAACAAATGAAATAGAAAAAGCCCAGAGAATTTCAGACATATGAAAATGACATAAAACAAGTGATGACTAATTCAAAGAATCCCCCTGATTACCACTCTCATTAGCAGCACTCAGAGCCACCAATTTTTAAGACTAGAAAAAATATAAGAGATCTAATATTTTAATCCTCTTATTCCACAAGGATGAGAGATAAAGGTCAGAGTCTATAAGGTCAGAGAGATAAAATGACTTTTCCACAGTCTAGGCTGGAAAGCCCAATATAAAGCACATAGCTCCTAGTTCTCACAGTCCATGGTTTCTTCCACCATACTGTAACGCATCTTTTCTATATTTAAAAAAAAGGCAATGTTTTACTCTCTTATTCGAAAGACCATCTGGCTCTCTCATGGCCTAGCACAATGACTGACATAGTAGGCACAGAACTTTGGTAGTTCATTGTCACATCAAAACTTCTTCTAAAGCTAATCTGACTACTTAGTAAAAACATGTTTTCAACCTTAATAGTACAATGCGGAAACGACTTGCAAATGTATATAACTGGGAGTTACTCGACCAAAGGTTTCTCTGAACTCTGATTTACTCTGGAACTACCACTGTATAATCCCAGACACAGATAAAATCCTCCACCCCACTCCATCCCAGTTTGTCAAATGCAGCCAGGCCAATTCCCGGCACAGCTGTCAGCTACCAAAAGGATTTAACAGTCAGTTCAACAAACCATACAAAGCAGTTCACCAGATCCCTCTATGCTTGGCCTAACATCAGAGAAATCTGTACCCCGCATATCAGGCTTGGTTATGTAAACTACCAGGTAAATAAAAAAAAATGAATTTAAGACTCTTCTACCTAAAAAGTTTAAGAACGCACTCCCACAGATGAAAAACCAAATGCCAGTGAACCCCATTTTACTCTGCCAATCACCAGTCACTGTATTTACCTATCCCCCACACTAAAACACTTCAAAAAAGGGGAGTGGCTCGTTATTAAAAGGTTATTACCGATTACGTTCTGGGCCTTGGAAATCACCAAAGCAATCTTATCACGACGTACCAATCGGTACTGGAATTTGGCTTCCTTCACTGGTTAAATACAATCATCACATTTGCAAATGTCCCCCGTACCCACGACGCTAGGAATAAATGCTGTGTCACCGAGAAAGACAAGTATTTTTCTGAAACCAAAAGGAAACTGTCAAAGAACGTCGCTGACCTGTGCCCCCGGGCTACTCCATTCCCTACAAAGCAGCCAGAACTCAATGTCCCTAAACCCACGTGCAGCCGGCCGCAGCTGCCGCCTGACGGGAAGCCCCCGACCCGCTCCACCTGTCAAGGGAAGGCTGCGCCCGCCGGGTTCCACCTCCGGGGCCCGGGGTGCCTCTCACCATTTCCAGGTGAGCGCCGGGGCCTTCAGGGTGTCCGCTGCCCGGGGCCGGACTGGCCCTGCCCTCCGGCGTCTTCCGCTCACTGTGGCGCTTCAGACCGCCCGCGTCGCCTCGGCCCCCGGCCTCCCGGCGCCGCCGCTGCCGGCTCCACAGGTACACGGCGCCCGCGCCCAGCAGCAGCGGCGCCC